AAAACTTCTTACCGAAGAAACTTTACCGATACAAGTCCTTTCTTAAATAAAACTGGTTTATTATTTCTGAATACAATTTTGCGATACACTTAATTTCAACAGTCGCTCTATAACAAACGCTATAATTCACAACGAGCTTCTCAAGTGCTCAACAATATTCTCTCTGTCCGCACATCCACTATGCACATCATTGATATAGAGCATTGTTTATGATGACGAATGCTCTAATTTCATCATAGTCAAACTAAGCAGTTTTCCAGGACTTTTTGTTACAAATAATAATAATAATTGAAAGTAACATATATGGTATTTTTTATTGGTACTATATTTAAGTAAATATAATTACATTACAGCCACGTTCAGGGAGTTTACAAAATTCCTAAAGTGGGTGGGCAGACGTTCTACAGGCTGACAGAATTCCTAAAGTGAAGCAGAGAGCCATCATCTGCAAGCTTACAGTATTTCTAAAGTTGGCTAGTCAGCCACGTTCTGTAGGCTTATGGAATCCCTAAAGTGTGCTATACAGCCACGTTCTGTAGGCTTACACAATTCCTAAAAGTGGCAGACAGACACGTTCTGTAGGCTTACACAATTCCTAAAGTGTGCTAGACAGCCATGTTCTGCAGGCTTACACAATTCCTAAAGTTAGGCTAGACAGCCACCTTCTGCGGGCTTACAGAATTCCTAAACTGGGGCAAATAACTACGTTCTGCAGGTTTACAGAATCCCTAAAGTGTGCTAGACAGCCACGTTCTGCAGGCTTACGTAATTTTTAAACTGGTGCAGACAGCCACTTTCAAGGGGATTACATAATTCCTAAAGTTGGCAGACAGCTACGTTCCACAGGCTTACAGAATTCCTAAACTGGGGCAGACAGCCACGTTCAAAGAACTTACAAAATTCCTAAAATGGGCAGATAGTCACGAGATTTAGTAGAATAATGTTCTCTTGACCTAATTCTAATAAAAAACAAAAATTTGTGAATTGCCTTTTGTGTTCTTTGTTTCGTCTCACTCATTTCCCCTTTTCTTCTTACCTAATCTGTGTTATAAATGAAGGGTGGTAATCCCCGAAACAGGAGTGACTTGAAATCAAAGTCTATGACGATAAGGGGAACTTCTTAACATCAGTGACATTTATACTCAGTAGAGCTGATCTTCGTTCGATTGAGCAAATTACATTAATAAAATGGTAGCCGAACAACAAAAGCCGGTACGGAATCTTGCATATATTAAATGTGTTATTAAGGAAGGAATAGTCTTCTCTGGATTTCCTAAAGCTAAAGAAAGACTACTGTAAATCTGATATGTTTTAATATTTTAGTGACGCCGCCACGTAGTCGATTTAGTAAAATACAAAATGATGCTGCTTGGAGTATGCTTACTGGGCAAAACTTGGTTCGTGTTAGCTTTGGTGAGAAACAAGACCAACAAAAAATATAATGTAATTGATGCTGATATATTAGCTCTTAGTTTATTTAGAAATACAGATATATCAACTTAAAAGACACTGTAAAAAAATTGCTACAGGAGTTAGAATAAAACAAATCTCTTTCTGGTTTCCACCAAAGAAGTTACATAATAAGACCTGCCAGGAAACGAAAAATATTTTTTTCCCAAATTACACCTTGTTAAGGTAAATATATCAAGAAAAAACTTAAATATTTGATAAAATGTAAACGCAGTTTTTAAAGCAGTATAAGATGGTATGTTTATTCATGGCTTTAACCGTAACTTCATTTTTTAGTTTTGGATGATATCATTGAATTTTTTCAACAAATTTTTATGATATTATAATCATCCAACTTAAATTTGTGAATAGATGTTATATTCACGACCTTATTGGCTTTGCGGCAAGTCTTCAGGCTTACGACGATGAGTATAGCTCACTAATTGTGCAACATTGCACTTACGACAACCAAATCAAAAATAACATAGGAAAAACTCATAGGCCCCAAATAGGGGTGAGGATGGAAAGAAACCATTGCACAGACAAATTTTAAACAAGGGATACTGCCCTCACTTATAAGAACCTGAACTCGAATAAAATATGTGCTTCTCGAAAACAGTAGAAGGATGACCGAAAAAAAAAAGTGTTTGTTTTTGTAGCATTGCCAGTATTGCGTCAGTTGAATGAAAATATTATTCATAAAGACTACACTATAGGCCCCTAATTTCATGAAACTCTAAAACCTCATAGCTTCGGCAAGTTCGATGTTTTTTGTATCTTTTACAAACAAGTTTTATTTTATAACCTGAGTTGTGCTTCGATATAGTTTGATATGGGTAGAATAATAGTGAAGCTTTCAAATTAATGTAATTCTAATTTTGCCTGCTGCATACCTATCTGCACATTGCGAGATAAAACTTTAGAATATATCAGGATATATGGTAGTGTGTCATGCGAGCAAAACAACCTACAGGACACACTGTGTGTTATTAACAGGAGTGATAGTTTCCAAATTCTGGAGCTCAAACTGCGGTAATCCGAACTATCACATATTTTCTGTGATTATGCTCTACTGTACCCTTACTTCACGTGCCAAATTTTAAGGCAAGCCATCAAGAAACATATAAGATATAAAATCTCCAATTTTGATTGAAGTTATCCCTTTTTATTTTCTTCGCACCGAAAGTACGGAACCTTTATTTGATAGACAAACGTACTTAATGAATCTAAGTTTCAAATGGACAGCAACTGCCTGTTGTAGAAACCTACAAGTGTAGAGGACGACGTTTCGTAAGTCTTCCGCCTTTCGTCTTCAAGGCTATAAGTGTAGCTATCTGTTTAGCCGCCAATTTTGATTTCATTCATTTAAATCGCACGGTCAATCCTTTTAGGCTGCACTTTTTTTTTCACACCTAAGGTGTTTTTGGTGAGATTTTACTTGGCATTCATCTAGAGAATTAATAATCAAAACAGTCAAATGACAGAGCTTGTTTTATATCTTACCGTCAGTTGCGGTCTCACAAAGAGAGGTTTCACTTCAGGTGGAAATCTTTCATACACGTTACCACATCACGGTACGTGCGTGAAAGATTTCCACCTGAAGTGAAACTTCTCTTTGTGAGACCGCAACTTTTACCACGAACTTTGGAAACGCCTGCAATCAAGTAAGAACTGACTATTTGGACTGAAAATGATAATGTGTTTTGATCTTCGAATGAAAACACACATTATTGTTCAACCTGAATGAAAGGACGAATAACATACTTTATCTAAGGTGTGTGACGTCAAGGTCATTTATAGAAGTTGATTTTTACCTATAAAACAAATAGGCTACTGGCTTACAGTCGTGTGTTTTTCTCACTAGGATAGTTATATTAACGCGACAAATGCAACGGGCAAACATACTGCATGAAAGTAGTTATATCACAGATCTAATGTTAAGTATTGCTGACAAACAAATAGATTCCTTGTCTATAACTATATCACCTATATGGATAATGTTATGGAAATACATATTACAAATAAACACATTTTAAAAGTAATTATAACACATATGTAATGGAAATATTCCTGACAAACAAACACATTCCATGTAAGTAGTGATATAAACTATACAGGTGTAGTGGAAATCATAAAAAAACTGAACATATTAGATCGTTATATCAATTAGACCGTATAACTAGGGTAGAATTATATAGAGGTTAAGTATATTGTATTATTTAAGACGATTTTGGAGGCTTATTACATCGTTACAGTCCGATGCTGTGCTATCTGACGATCATGCACCCGTCCACCTAGACAACAGCCCTGCATCGGATTTTTCATTGCTCCAGAAAAACACACCACTCTCCCGTATTTGCTTTAGATAATCCATTTAGTGTACGAGAACAACACTTTCCCAGTGCTTGTTTCAACAGTCCGATTGCACAGATATGGCTTTGTGGTTTTGCTATAAGAAACACTCACACAAAATATATTATCTGCTTTCTGTCCATCACGGGGAGTAGAACACCGGATTTTAGTGTTTTAAGTCTAAGAATATTTGTAACTCATTTTCCTACACACGGTGTAACCTGAAGGCAATCTACGAATAATGTTATAATTTTACATATGAGGTGAAAGGCATAATTTGATTACTAGTTCACTTCTAAGCATTCACAGAAATAGGAATGAGTGTGTAGGGAAAACCCAGTTTTCCATCCTTGGAAAATCTTCCTCCTTTTTAAATCAGCTAGTGAGGTGGGGAAACAGGTTGGACAAAAATTATATAAATTTCTCGTCTGTGTGGTGGTGAAAGTAATTTCCCAAGATTGGTCAAATGAATCAAAACGGTACGTAAGAAGAATGTGGGATTAGTATGTGTAGTTTCATAGGCAGAAAACCTTACACATTATTTTTTATATACCTATAGCAGAATGAAGAAATAGTATTTTATTTAAACTTTATTGATTCTCTACTTACTTTTAACCAGTCTATAGATTTTACGAATCGAATTTGAAAGGACACTGTTTGTTTCAGGGTTTCATGAAAAGCTACGCATAGACATACTTAATTTTAACTTGATAGACTAAAGAATGGGTAGCTAGTCAACAGCAACCATCGTCAATTCTTGGGCTACACGTTTCTAATCAAACAGTGAGATTTGACCCTTGCTATTATAGCACACCCACAGCCCAAAAGTGCGAAGCTCATTTCTGCGGCCAAAATTGTGAACCATGAATCTTTGACTCACAATTTTGGTACACTAATTACCAGGCTACACCAAGCCCATAAGATGTTCAAGAAATCTTAAAACTAGTCACATCTGGAACTGTTTGGTTCTTAGTTATAGAAAACAACTGATTCGTTGTATGACATTTTACAGGTAGCTAAAACATGGTTTCTTTCAATATGACTTTTTTCTAGAGATTGTTATTCCAACATATCATCTACCACACTTGGTGGTTAAAACTGATTCGGCAGCGTGATCGATGCTATATTGTTCACTGGTTTGGGGGACATTTTGATTTATGAATTATTCTGTTCATTGTTGTTTTTGTGCGTGTGTTTAGATATGAAGCAGCTTCATGTTGTGTTTGTGGCACTCACGTTCCTCCTGACGGCTCCACATGCATTCTCACAAGGAGTTGACCCACACGGAGGTCACGGGTGGGCGAGGGACGACTACGGTGGATATATACTAGGATCCCAGAACAACTGTGTGTGTGTTCCTCCCAGTCAGTGTAGCAATAAGTTTATTACTGCAGACGGTGCTGGCAATCTAGAGTCACGCAGAAGGGTAGGTATTAATAAAGAGAATACTTTATATTAAACATATTATATCTGGTGATGAATTTACAAGGTACACGAAAAAATTATCTCTCTTAACCTTTTAATCACAATATGTCTGTAAACACTGGTCGAAGTTGAAGATGACTATGAGAGTGAAATAAGTAGATGTTCAGAATAATTATTAGATTAATGTACATCAAGAGCAAAAATTAAACAGTAAAATTAGGAGTTACGGCTAACTTAGTTGATGTTTGGAGTAATACTCAGATCAGTAGATGTCTAGAACTATTAGTCAGGTCGCTGAATACTTGAAGTGACCGAATAGTCAGTAAATGTATGAGTAGTCGTCAGGTCAATAGAGGCTGAGCGTGCAGTGATGCCAGTAGATTTATGAAGTGCAGTAAGACGAGTAGATTCAGTTCAGTAGAATCTGAGTAGACGATGGAGGTGTAATAATAGTCAGATTACTAAATATTTGTAGAGTGGTCAGGTCAGCAAATACTATTTGAGGCAATTAAATCAATAAATGTTTTGGACTGATGGTCAGATCAGTATAAAAGATAAAAGAAAGCGAAGGTTAGGTGTACAGCTATGGTCAAAAGTTTTGCATCACTCTAGAATTTTAGGAATGAGATATAATTTAAAAAAACGTGTGAACATAATTTACACGTTTTATTTAACCAAAGAAATTACAAAATTATATCTCAAAGATCTACTGGAAGCCACGTAGTAGTACTTAGTATTTGCAGTGTATTCTGTTGCTTTTCAAACTTCTTTAATCCTCCCATACATAAGTAACTGAAGGGTTGAGTTATCCTTAATTTAGCAGGTTTTGTTCAACTTTATAAAGGAAAATTAGATTATTCTAGGGTGATGCAAAACTTTTGGCCTTAGCCTAGTTGAGTTAGAAGGCGTTGACCAGAAGTTTGTCAAGAGATGTGTTCAAACGTTGATGCTCAGGTTATATGAGGCAAAACGTCTTTGTTAACTGAGAAATGATACTTTGAGAAAAACATAATAATTTCCTTACTTCATGTACTTTTCTTTCATAGTTTTTGCTTTTGAGTGGGCTGAGAGGAACGAGTTGTAAAGAACATGAGATCTGTTGCTTAACAACACCCAGGGCATCACTGAAATGTGGCAAAAATAATCCACAAGGCCTCGGCTCTGGGATCTTTACAAGCCCGAAGATTGGCCATGCTGAGTTCGGAGAATGGCCCTGGCAGGTAGAATTGTCCTAGTTTACATCTTTGAATGGCTGATTAACCTTGTTTATGCTGGGATATTCAGTAATTTTAATTAACTTAATTTAAATTTGTAAATAATTTATAACTTGAAATAAAACGTATCTTTACTCTAAAGGTGAATGTAATCAGTGGATTAATTCTCTACTTGTTTGACTCGCAGTCCTAAAAAATCCTGGAAAAGGCATAAGGTATAAACTGGTTAACTTTAAAAAAGTTTGGACAAAAAATTGATTTTCCGATTTTTATACATGTGACTTTATATGTGGATCACAATGAAACTAAAAGTAAATGCAAAAATATCTGTCAAAATAACAAAACTCTAAAAAAGGTTTGAGTAATTATTTTCATAAAAATGCAATTTTAATAAGTCATCTTTAAAAAGTCAACGTGTCAAAGAGTGGAAAGGTAAAGTGGATGGCCTTGGTCAAAGTCAGACGGGTCACGTTTTTACCTTCAGTTTGCTCGTGTTCAGAGGTTATCTATAATTTAATGTACGGCAATTTCAATGTGGGACGAAGAAATAATACTTGTTAGCAAAAACAAAAAATATATACATGTGATGAAACAAATAGTTGTAATCGATGATTTGATGAAATCCACTGGCTTGGTAATATGGATCGTTTAAAAGTGTGATATGTGAAATATGGTAGTATAGGTCGTTTAAAAGCATACTTAGTGTGTCTTATTAAACCTATTAAGGTGTGATAAAATGAGTTGTTTAAGTGTGTATTACAGTATATAAGTGAACCCACTAAAGTTTGTTAATATGTATTATAGTATCTTTTTTTCCGTGGATGTGTTATCTTTGGTGTTGTTTTAGCGAAGTGTTTTCGCCTGCTTGAGATATGATATATATATATATATATCTGACCTCAAATACTTAAACAACATTATATAACTAAGATACTCATTGTCAGGTGCAGACTAGACAATGAGTATCTTAGTTATATAATGTTGTTTAAGAATTTGAGGTCAGATATAGCACAATGAGTATTTGAGTTTTTGTTATATATAGTTGTTTAAGTATTTTTGGATCAGATGAAGCACAATGAATATTTCAACTTTTGTTCCCAGGGCGCTGTACTGAAGGTGGAAAACAAAGTAACTATTTTCAAGTGCGGAGCTACACTTATCGATTCTAGACACGTTCTTACTGTAGCTCACTGTGTAAAAAACTTTACGTAAGTAAAGCAGTCACAAGTTGGAAGAAAATGTAAGGTTTTTGTTCTAGTTTTTACATTCCTTTTAAAACGAACATGTAGAATTGAAAAATAAACTTGAC